GTCAAAGGTTACGTCAAGGAAGTTAACTATTTTCAGGTTCGTCTGTATGGTGATGTTAAGGCCGTGGTGCTTGAATAGTTTCGTTATGTCCTTTCTGATTCTGTCTGCATGTGGTCCTGATGTATTCTTGAAAACAGCAAGTCCATCGTCTCTGTATAGTCCTATGTAGTCCTTCCCGTATTTAGCGCATAGTTTGTTGAGGATGAATAGACCGACTAGCTCACAGATTTCTGCGCCATCGTAGCTCCCCATGGTAACATCGAACATATTGCCTTTCTTCTTGATCCAGGGAGTGCCGTTGTTGAATAGTAGTGATTTGCGGGCGTGCATAATAATGTCAATGTCTCTGGCCGTGATTGTGCAGTATTTCTTGGCGAAGGACAATGTGTCTGTTAGAAGTTTCTCTGTGATGGAAGGGTAGAAGTTTTCAATGTCGAAGATAGCGAATGTATGTTGGTGCTTGTAAATTGCTTTATAATTCTTTTTATATCTTTCTTTTTTTATTTTATTCTATTTTGATACATTAGAGTTTAACGTTATTAGTGTGGAAAGAGCAAAAACAATCTCAAGAAGCGAGTTAATATACGAAAAATATTTAATGAATTTAATGAATCGTAGCTGGCACTTGGTCCGTCGGCGTAAAAATCCACAATAGTTTTATACTTTCGAGTTGCGCGAAAAGTACCAGGTAAAAATATGAAAATATATACAGCAATTTCAAAAAAGGTTGAATACTGAATAATGCATACTGAATAGCGCATTCCAAGACCGAAGTGCATTGTGGGTCATAGTGACATTGTCTAAAGTAGGATAAATGATATTCTATTTTTAGCGTATTCCATCTGAAACAATATACTAGCTACACGTAGAGAGTAAATTGCTTTATATTTACTTTTTATTTCAAATTAACGAGATCCACAATGCGCTTTGGTCTTGGAATGCACTATTCGGTATGCAGTATTCAGTATTCAACCTTTTTGAAATAGCTGTATACAGTTATCATATTTAATAATGCTATAAAATCACTGTAATAAATCTCGCGTTCTGATTGGTTGGGAGCGTGCGCATTATGAGGGAACACAGTACACACGCGCACTTTCAGTTTCGGTCGTTATTCACGTCCAAACGACAGCTCTTCTAATTTGTATCTTAGAAAAAAGAAATAAAAAACTGCTTGCAGTTATAAAGTACAAGGGGATTGGCAGAACACTCCAGAAGTGCTGAGACGCACTCTGCTACGCGTCGTGCTTCTCCTAACATTCTCTTGTGACTTGCCAATACATGTGTCCTTTATAACTGCACACACTACGCACATGCATTTTTCTATTTCTTGATTACTGCAAATAGTGAATAAAGTGAATATAGTGTGATGGCATAACGATGACAAATACCACTTTAACGACTGTTCCACCACAGGTGGCCCAGTAGGAAGAATATCATATGAAACATTTTTGAGATATTTTTTACAATGGTCATATCACCAGCACAAGCAAATATGGGCAAATTTAGCATATGCATCATCATCATCATCATCATCAAAGACCACTTTTATCATCACCACCATTAAAAACCACTTTTAACATTATCATCATCAAAAACAATTTCCATCATCATCATCATCATGATCGTCAACATCATCATCATTATTATCGTCATCGTCGTCCTCGTTGTCATCATCATCATCGTCATCACCATCTTTTTATCATTGCTGGCATCACAACAGCACCTTCATACCCCAAGCATTTACTTCCTGATTCATTAATTCAACAATATTTTTTAACAAAAATAGGGATATCTCAGTAAATTTGTTTTTTTACAATAATAAAAATGAAGGGAAAGAGAGCGTGCTTGATCTTGACATCAGCCTCATCTCTCTGTCCTCTTATTGATTTTTTTTTATTTGTCCTCTTATTGATGATAAAAAATAACCAATCAGCGAGTGAAAAATTTGTAAGTTATCATAAAAAAATATTTTACCTTAAAACCGAGGGCTACTTCATCCAAAATGTACTTTTTTGACTTGCTAAATGTAAAAGGCAGAGTTAAATTTTGCTTTCCTTTTGCTGAGTGGAACATTCTCTTGATTAAAAGGACACTGAATATTGAAACAGAAATATAAAGAAATTAGAACTTTACCATTAATAACCTTTTCTTTTTGTTAGAGCAGGCTGATTATTCTGGCAGCTTTCGCTGATGTGGGCCTGCTTTCACTCACACTCACTACCACTACATTTACTATTTTATGCACACAACGCTCGACTCACATGTCGATTTTCTGGAGGGAGGAAAACCGGAGAGCCCGGAGAAAATCTCGTGGCAAAGGAGAGAACAACACAACAAACAGCTCAATTCACATGTGGCAACAACAGGGCTCGAACTAATGACCCGACCCGTTGGACTCTCAGCGGTGAAAGACCACGCATTAGCAGCATATGCCACCCATGCCACCCTTAAACTCATGACCACAGTGGTGAGAGATACAATAGCCACATCACCACCCATGGTTACTGTGTATCAAGATCTTAATCTCTCCAATAGAGGTTTTGCACCATCACATGCCAAAGCCTATAATACAGCTTGAGCTGCCCGTGGTTAGTTGGCAGAACAATAAAATCCCTCTGCTCTTGGGAATTGAAGTCGTTCTTATGTAAAATGATTGCATTATTCCTGCCATCTAACATGGCTGCTGTCATGTGGTAGTGCAAAGCCTCTATATGACATGTATGATAAAGAGCTGCAAATCACTACTTGCAAAATTTACTTACATGTCTGCAGCCATTTCCACAACAAGAACCTCTTTGTCTGTGGAAGACTTCAGTAAATACTGCATATCCTGTAGCAGGATCTTGGTACATGTTTTCTCCTCTCTAAAATAAAATAAAAATAAAAACAAATATAAAATGCCTGCTATAAATAAAAATGCAATCTTTTTTGTTATATCTTCCTATAATAATAAAGAATAAATTTATAAGTGTCTAGTCATTATAGCACTTTTGCACTGATTGGGGACACTTTTCTTTCACATGCACTACAACTACTGTACTGTATTCAATGTTCTATGCACACAATACTCATATCACATATTGATTTTTACAGAGGGAGGAAACAGGAGAAACCAGAGAAAACACTTGTTGAACGACCAGTAATTTTGAAATGTTATTTATTACTATTTTCCACTATGTTTTATGATCTTCTCCAATTGAAACATAAGTTGAAATAGAGGAATATTGCAATAAATTTTGGGCTACAATTATTGAACAATGTATTAGATTTTAGAAGAAATATAGTTTTATAGTTTTTACAGGAAGGACGGTTGGCATGCCCTCACAATATGCACCTCTCGCCAATGCGACCATGGTTCAAGCACTGCCGGCCATGGTGTTGTATGTGAGTTGAGTTTTTTGTTTGTTATCTCCTGTGCTTCAAAGGTTTTTCCTCCAGGTTCTCTGGTTTTTACCTAACCTGTTAGGCATTAAGCCGTCCACCAAGGAGTGGTAAAAGCATTAAATACAGGTAGTACAATGTTTCCAGCAAATGCATTTTATAATCAACAGAGGCTAAAACATTTGCATTAAGAAAGTACTTTGATTTTTTGTGCCACCATTTGAGGAGAGATGGGGAGTTTCCTATGGCTAGTTTACCAAATGTTATCTGTATTGGGGTGATGAAATGGGGAGTTGATGTACTCAGATTTCTATTGCTGCATCTCTGGTACATCTTATTTCGATATCGCTAGTTTTCAATCATTCCCAAGAGAATGAAATAACAAAAGATTCAGTGGCCGTGTTGGATGTCATAACAGAAGAGACTAACGACGAATCTTTTGTTAAATTCATCCAACATGGCGGCTGTTAAAACCATCCATTCACGCTATATTTTAATGTACAATTTCTGCAAGGCTAAAGCCACAGTTTTTCCCCTCTACACATGCTACCGTCATACTCACCTTACATGCCTCTTCATGTGCAAAATATATTTCCTTTTCTTCATCTGAAAGCTTCTCCAATTCCACTTTATCTGACTTGAGCATATGCGTGCTTTCAGTTGTTTGGGTTTCGTTCTTTCGTTCTCCGTTTGTTTTGAAACGCTGCCCTTTGTCGACATTTAGGCTGCTCGGGAGTGTCGTTCTGCTAGTCGACTGTTTATCAGCGTCGCCTAGAAGTTTGCTGAAGCTGGAACTCATCGATAAAAAAGACTCGTGCTTGGAAAGAAAGAGTAAAGAGCTACGACCGACTAATGGTAGCTTACGACTCAGCATTATCCAATGAATTACATCCAATTTTAACTTTAAAACGTTAAAATTTCAAACAAATTAGTGAAATCATGCATTCCTCTTATGTACGCTTTAAAATAAGTTGGAAATTTAGAGTAGAAATGTCATAAATTAAGAAGATATAAAGATCATACGAGCTTTGCAAACGTGGATGATCGGTAGAGACGATTTTCACCAGGCGTTCTTCGAGCCACAGGGCTCCCAAGTTGAAGGACAACAGAAACCACTTAGCGTGGCCCGAACACTGCGGGTTGTTATACACTGCCAACTAATAAAAAGATTAAAGATAAATATTTATACGTTGCCATTGTCCTACCTCAAAACCCTGACTGAACGACGACCATAATTACATGTTTTGCAGTATTATATGCGGGTTTCCTGTGTTGAAGTAGACAAAGCTTGACCCGTGCCGACAAAGCGTGAGTGTCTATCATGGCAGAATTTACTATTCTCAAGGAAGATATTCGAGGTAGAATTGTTCAGCCGTCAGATGTTCACAAGTACGACCTTGAAATCAAGAAGCTTTGGAATGCGTGTCTGCATATAAAACGGCCGATAGCTTTAGTCCAACCCAGAGAAAAAGACGATGTCGCAAAGACTGTCAAGTTTTGTGTAGACAATAAGGTCAGGAATGCATGTAATACGTAGAAAGACGATTTAAATCTTCTCATATTATGTATATATCGCTAACTTTATCTAGAAATCTAAACGGTACCAATAAATTTTTTWAATTACATTCCTAAATTTCATCTTGATATTTATTCCTATTTTAATTTTAGCTCGATATTTGTGTCTGTTGTGGTGGAACTACTGAAGTAGCCGTACAAGACAACGCCGTCCTGATTGACCTGTCTCTGATGTGTGATGTTATTGTAGATGTTGATAATATGGTATGTAAATAATTATACTAATTCAATAAAGGCGGTAACCGATCCACAAAGGTCACACGTAATCCAAGCGTACAGCCCTTTTTTTACTGAGCTGTGTCGATATTGTCTCAATCAATTGGAAAATTAGTTTCAAATTTGTGTCAGAGGCCGGAATGCAGGGGAGAATTCAGGGGGGAGGCGATGGTACAGCGCCCTTTTTCGGTTTGTGATAGCTTTTTTATACCTTCATTTTTTCAGTTCAGTTGTGGAAATATCCCCAGAACGCAGGAAATTTCATTTATGGAAACCATATTCTAAGAATTTCTTTTCTAGCATGCCCAATCCCAATGGTTTAAAACTGCAAAGTCAGCGATTGAGATTCACGTCTAACGCCTAATTTTCATGCAGCCCTTTCTCAGATTCCTGTATCCCGCCCCTGGCCATGCGTTTTATATAAGTCTTTTGCTTTGTCTCATTCACAGACTGCAGTCGTTGAAGGTGGTGCATTAGTGGCAGACGTGGATCAGACTCTCCATAAACACGGCTTAGTCACACCACTGGGGAGTTTCTCTAAACTGGGCGTGGCTGGTATGACCCTGAGGGGAGGGTTTGGCTTCCTAACAAAGTGTTATGGAGTAACTTCGGACAGTGTTTTAGAGTATGGTGAGTATAAAGAGGCTGGTGATAAATCAGGGCTAGCAGGCGTGAAAAGGTTAGATAACAAGCCTTCACATCTTGGCCGTAAATAATGCGGCATTTATATAATCGTATTGCTTGTGGTTTTTTACGAGGCATTTAAAAATACGCACTTAATAGTCTGTGGCTACTAACAAACATTATCGTCGAAATGCGCAGGATACGAAGTTATCAGTTTGCGAAGGGAGGAAACTGGCATAAAACCAAAAAGAAAAAGTAGAAAAACCGCGCCAGCGAAAAAAAATTTAGTCATTTTTTTCCATTTCAGACCACGTGTCATGTCATTTTCTTGTAAATAAAATTATTTGTTTGAGTTGTATCCATATTCATGTGTCTTCTCATGTGCAATCATTAAACACACAAATGATACTCTAGGGAATGACACGTGGTCTGAGATGGGAAAACATTATACCCAAATTAAAATTACAACATGTCTCATTAATGCTGTGCGCAACATGATGGACTCAATAGCCAAAAGGAAATTAAGGCTAATACGCTTAGGAAATATATAGCAAGGAAGGTTAAAAGAAAGTTTAAAACGAGGTCATTTGTTCCTCCATTTGCTACAATCAATATTCCTACAAGTTTTGTTACGGTTTGTTCAAGCTAGAACTAGTAACTGCAAGCGGTGAAGTGATCAAAGTCAATGCTGAGGAAAACCAGGACTTGTTCTGGGGAATGAAAGGATTTGGCACGAAATATGGGTGAGTCATTACAGCTAGCGTGATCAGGAAAAAGTCCCAAGAACTTATGAACACCCCGGCGATCCTTTTCTATTATTTGGCATAGGACTTTAGCTTTTTCACGAGAAAGAAGGGAATTAAAGAAAGCATGAGTTCTCCTTCGAATTTCCGTTTGCCTCATTCGCAACCAGAGCCAGCGAAAAACCTTGGAAAGTGTATGTAATGTGGAAGAGGAGCTGAATTGGAACTATGCTATAATATAGACTAGTCGTTGTACTAAAGGCCAAATCCGCGGGACCCTCAGACTATGACGAGCCCGTCTCCGCGGTCCCTACAAACTGCTAACAGCTATAACTTGTCTGTCATTGCACAGTATCGTCACGTCCATGAAGTTCAAAGTGTATCGAATGCCGGACTTAATTGTTGGTGGAACGTTATACTACCCACTTTCACGTGCTAAGGAAGTAGTTAAGACCCTGCTGGACTACTACGAGCGAAGGAATGATAACTGTTTGTCTTTCCACGCCAAGTGCTTTGTTTTGCCCATAGGGTAAGTAATACTTGTCTTTCAACGTAACTGGCCATTTGTATTCTCTTTTTTTCTCAATGGACTCTGAAGATGACTTTCGCTCAGGTTGTCGAAACGCCATTCACCAACAACAACAGTCTTTATTTTCTTCATCTATGCATTTTCAAAATATAGGGAGTCATCATTTATCACACTTAGGATGAAAGACAATTTCAACAAATAATGTCCTAGGATTTACATAAATTTGCCACTAGCTACGAATAATACAAACACTTTGTAATTCCACTCACCTTCACTGGAACACATAAATATTCTACACACAATCGAGAGCGCAACCCTGTGCGACAAACAATTCAAGACGTACTGAAGTATTTGTTGAAGCATTTCTATACTTTACGTGGTTTATATATTCTGATTTCTTCATCAGACCTGAAGTTTTGATAAAACTGCATTATAACGGTTCTGTCACCACTGGTGGGGAAATCGTCCAAGACATTGAAGACCTCACTCACCCGATCAAAAACACCTGTAGGCCAATTGCGCACTGCGACTTTCAGAGTCAAGGAGATGAAATGCTTCCTAGTGGGAAGTACTGTTGTGCTGCTCCTGGAGCTTGCCTGTCAGGTCAGTGGTAATAATAATAATAATGATAATGGGAGTTCTTATATAGCGCATTGCAAATATCTCAATGCGCTATACATTTATAATAAGTGGAGGACTTTACGGGCTGCGTATTAAGGCGCTATTAACAGCCGTGCAGCTTACAATCATGAGTGATTTGTTAGTATGTTAGTATTATGCCTCCAGATTGGGATAGGCTGTGGATTGTGAATGTGGATTGTGGTAGAACGAATATGCATCCCAGGTGAATCATATTTAAGGAAAAATTATTAAATGGCGGATTCACCACTCCATGTATGGTGGACGGTGTGCAACACACTTAATAAGCTTACCGATAGATCGAATTAGAATTTAGGAGTTGATTTTTGAGATAGGACAAGCCCGAGGACCCGGAGAAAAAACTTTGAAGCACAGGAGCTGGTAGTGGTTGAGTTATGATGCTTATCAGTATAATAATTATAAAATGGCTTAAGTTTTAAAGTAAGTTTCTTTAAGAGGACATTTTTTCAATAATGAGCAATAATGGCAAAAAGCGCCAAAAACTAGACTTTCGTATGAGTTTTGAACCCAATTTTCGTTTTAGTTTAACACTCAAAACCTTTTTTAAACAGTTAGAAACTGATGTGCTATGATAAAATGCTTGTTTGAAGCGGTATTTTCAATTGTACAAAGATGTTTTGTTGCATTTGTGTTAGGATGTAGCTTTGTCAGGCTTTTTTATAGAAAATATATGGGAAATAAGCAAATGAAGGCTTAACCTCATTTTCGAATAAAAGTTTTGCTTTGGGTTAACACTTTGATTCCGCTTTAATCGAACATTTCCACTTCCAAACAAGTTAAACTTTCCGAATAACAAGATTTTAGCCTTGTACAACAGCCTTTCTTTAAGAAAATAGTTTTTGGCGCTCACTGCTTGAATACGAAAATAATTTTCTCTTAAAAATCCTTTTTCCTGCCATCTTTTAGAGCTCAAAGACGAGGTTGTCGACCTCCTCATTGATGGTATTCAGAATGTTCCAGACCAGAAACGATCCTTCACCGGTACATACGTCTCTATCTTCGCATTAGCTGCCAAATCAAACAAAAATTTGGCAGACGGCACTAGCTCGTACCCTTTCCCTGGCACCTTAAGGTAGGTTAGAAACGAGCATGGCTAGAGGATTTTGTTGTAAGGTCTCATCTATAGTTTTGATATTATATAATCATTTGTTGATCTGATTCTTTATTTTATTCACAATTTTCCATGCAACAAGTTAGTTTGAAAGATTCACTGAGAACTTAATGCTTTATTATTGAAGAAATAGAAAACGCGAGCGCGTGCTGTCATAAAGCACGCGGGGGATGCAGAACACGAGAGAAGTGTTAGGAGAAGCACGACGCGTAGCGGAGTGCTTCTCGACACTTCTCGAGTGTTCTGCCAACCCCCCGCATGCTTTATAACGGCACACAGCACAGCAAGCAAGTTTTTAATTTCTTTTATAAAATTCAAATTACAATAATAGATAGGAATGACGCAACGGAAAGTGCGCGCGCTTGCAATGTGCTCTCATAAAGCACGCGCTCCAAACCAATCAGAACGCGACATTCATAACAGTTATTTTATAAAGAAATAATAGAAAACGCGCGCGCGTGCTGTGTACATGTGCAGTTATAAAAGCACGCGGGGGTTGTCGGAACACGAGAGAAGTGTTAGGAAAAGCACGATGCGTAGCAGATGCGTGCTTTATAACTCCACACAGCACAGCAAGCAAGTTTTTTTATTTCTTTTATAAAATACAAATTACAAAAACAAATTACAAAGGAAAGGAAAGGAAAAGAAAAGAAAGGGAAGGGAAGGAAAAAATGACATTTATGTTTAATCATTTATTTAGGTTCTTTTTGGGAATGAATGGCGCGACTGACAAAGAGAAGAACGTAGATGCCCTCAAGCAATGGATGAAAGAAGTCTTTAGTGGCATCCACAACTATGGCCTTCCTCCTTTTGGCGGGAAACCAGAAGAACCAGAAAAGAGGCTTAAACAGCTGAAACTAAGATACGACCCACAAAACATCTTTCACTAAAGTTGTAGCAATATAAAACGCCAAAGATTAGAATATACATATTTAATTATGCCTTAGACACTAAACACTGAAAAGATGAACATCAGACGTCCCATTCTTTATCAGCATATAAAAACTATCAACTAATAAAAAGTATAGATAACAAATGAAGAATATAGTGGTGGCAGTGGCAGTGGCGGTGGTGGTAGTAGTGGTAGTGGCATTGGCAGTGGCAGTGGTGCAGCTGTAGTGGGGTAGTAATAGTGGTGTAGTGGTGGACTAGTGTTAATTGATGGTTTTTCAACCATTCCCAAGAGAGTTAAATAACAAAAGACACGGCGGCCATGTTGGAGGATATAACGGACGAATTCGTTGACAATTCTTTTGTTACGTTCCTCCAACATGGCCGCCGTGAAAACCATCAATAGTGGTGGTGATGATGGTGTTAATAGTAGTGRTAATTATAAAAATAGTAATTAAAAAACAAAGAATATTAAGGGATAGACAAGGTTGAAAGGAAGAAAAATATATTAAACATTTCCATTAAACCAATCTAAAAAGGTCTCCCAGTCACATCAATCCACAGACAGCGAGGAACGCCTAGTGCAAACTGTGTTTGTGTTTCGGGTTCACTAGTTTAGCATTTGAATCGTTACAACTTTATATATTCATGAATGGTTGTTTTTGATTTTAGCCTATATATAATTCAAAGGTCACCCAGAGTCTCCAGACAGGGTGTGTTTTGCAGCGATTCGCTTGAAATAAGTAGGATTACAAAATATTGATCTCGACTTGCAAAAAATGGCTGACTTCAGTTTTTTGAAGAAAAGCATTCAAGGTAAAATTGTAGAACCTTCAGATGGAAAAAAATACGACAATGAAATCAAAAAAGTTTGGAATGCATGCCTGTACGATAAACGTCCATTGGCCTTTGTCAAAGTCAAGGGAAAAGACGATGTAGCGAAGACAGTCAAGTTTTGTGTCCGCAAACAGGTATTTTGAATACTAATTATTTGCAATTCTATGAGATTATTAAGTGATGGATACGTACTATAGTTCCTAGATTCAACATTTCTTTTACTAGGATCTCTAACGTTAGTGAAAGTATGAGAAATTTATCCTGTGTCCCGTAGCAATATCTAATAGAAGCACTTGAGATTTTGGTAAACAATGAATATTCAGTCAATCGCGTTGAAGCTTAGCTGTGACAAAAAATATTCAAGTATCAATTTAAAACATATATAATACAGACAAACTTAAGCTAATGACTAACTTCTCCCTTTGTTTTAATTGGCCTACAATTTGAGCTGCTTTAGAATTGCTAGAAAGAGATGCATGACTTATTTCAGTGTGAGTGATACTCGGGGCATGTCATGCTGCCTGATCGACATACAACATATCAATTAGTTGATTAGAAATTATTTGCCAAAGGGCTTGAACTTGGAGAAGGGAGTGACAGGAAAATAATTTATAATTAAGTTATAATTGGRAAAAAATAAGCAAATAATTGTTGGATAATAGTCATGTTTAATTTATGCACTTAACAGTCGGCAAGGTCATTAACCCATGCTTAGCTTTTAGCCCCCTGCTAAACATCACTGTTGTTCAGCTGTCATCAATCACCATGCTCATATTTAAACCAAGCTAATTCTGTCGAAAGCAAGGAAAGAAGAGACCAATATGTAAGTGGAGGAGAGGGGAGGGGAAGGGAGGGGAGGGGAGGGGAGGGGAGGTCTTATTTCTTCTTGAGTGCCTCTCAGCCATTTAAGGACAAAGCAAGCCCACTAGAAAAAATTAAAGAGAGAAAAGGGATATAGCTTATCTATTAGGCCAAACAAAAAAAATAAGTGTTTTTCAGCTGTTGCATGAGAAAAATAATTGGGGTCGATAGGTCAGATTTTTTTAGTGGAAATGAGCTTACTGGGAACCCTGTGGTGAATTTGGGAATGAAAAAAACATTAGGATTGGCTAAAATCGACTAGAAAATTAGGGTCCGTCATGCAACAGGAAACACACTTATTTTTTTGTTTGGCCTTAATGATAAACTATATTTTTATTTATTTATATATAGAGGACCGCAGAACCATAGATCATTTTAATTATACAATTACACTAAATATAGATATTGCCACCCATGTAGAGGCCACTTAAGTAAGATATATCCTTCATTAAACTCTGTCTGTTGATCGCATAAGCATGAGATTTATGCTGATTAAATTGAAGTGAAGTAACATAAGACATTTGCCGTGTTGTAAGGCTTTAATCAGCATAAACCTCATACTTACACGAGTCAACTAAACATGGCGGCTTGGAGAGCAAGACCGCTGATCATAAGTGTCAGCAGGCACGACACAGGTATCCCGAAATATATATATAATAATAACACTTTAACTAAAGTTATTCAAACAATAATTCTGAACAACAGTTGGGTGTCGATTGTCACTACACGCATAAGCATGAAACTTGGAGTAACAGCTAAATTGATGTCTTGTATTTGATCTATCTACAATCTAAATTTATTTATATATAGTTAATTTTTGTTGTCGATATTTCTTTAATTTATTGTAGCTTGACCTCTGTGTGTCTTGTGGGGGAACTAGTGATTTTGTCATCGCTGATGATGCAGTGATTATTGACCTATCCATGATGAAACGTATCAAGATCGACAAAACGAAAAAGGTACTATCATACATTTTTTCGTCATTTGGTTTTTTTAATTCAACTGAAAGATCTTGAGTGAAGGAACGAAGGAACAAAGGAAAATAAGAACAAATTAATGAATGAACAAATGAATAAATGTAGATAACGATTAGTTTTGGAAGTAGCTTTGACTGCGTCGATGTTTTTCAGTTGAAACAAACATGTTATAGTAGATAATTTTATCACCGTAAATACGAAAGACAATAGACTGACGTTTCGGACGTTAGTCCTTCGTTGGAGTCAATGAATAAATGAATGAATAAATTAATAAATTAATAATCAAATGAGTGAGTGATTGACTGTCTGAGTAACTAAATAATAGAATAAATAGATTATTAATTTATAAATTATTCAAGTGAATGAATGTCATCTTCCTCACCTCCAGACGGCAAAAGTTGAAGGTGGTGTAATAGTATCAGATGTTGATGAAGCTCTCCAAGAACGTGGCTTCATCCTTCCCTTGGGGAGCTTCTCCAAGCTGGGCGTGGCTGGTATGACGCTGATGGGGGGATTGGGCTTCACTACCAGAAGTTATGGAATAACATCAGATAATGTACTGGAATATGGTAAGAATGAAACATAAAATCTAAAAATTTGCAAGATTATTTGCATGGACTATTGAGGATTGCATGCCTCAAGTCTCTTATTTTCATTCTTTTGTTTGAAATTTCATTCAAACGGTCAATATTTTCAAGCAAAAAATGCTGACCACATTTCTCAAACCTCGTAGTTTTTACTTTCCAATTTTTGATGTCTCAATTTTCATTCATTTTCAGAACTTGTAACTGCAAATGGTAACGTTATTAAAGTAAGCGACAAAGACAATGAGAACTTGTTCTGGGGAATGAAGGGATCTGGATTCAACTTTGGGTAAGTTTTCAAAATTTAGGTCATGAACTAAAATATACACAACAACAACAACAACAACAACGTTTTATCGTACCTAGAATTACATGCATATTTATAAAAAAAATTAAATAACTATAAGTATACAGGCCCTAACTTAATAACTATAAAGTTAAAAATGTGCTAGGACCATTTAGTAATATATATGTATAATATATATAATATTGTCACGTTTAAATATGATGGAATTCTAGGAGTAGAAATCAAAAAGCAAAACAAAACAAAATAATAACAAAACAAGTATTCATGGTATCATAATCAACACTATATCAGCCCAGGATATTCCACACTCAGTTAATAAAGTTTGATAATAAAACTTCTGCAATAAAAAATATTCTTAGAGATAAAGAAAAAAAAAAGCTAATACTAATTTTTTTTCAAGTATTCACATCATTACTTTAATTTTCTTTTTGTGATTGCAATTGTAGTGCTTCTTGATAGCACACACGGAACGGTTGTCATGACGAAGTAGATGTTAAAGGATGTCAGTCAAGGCATTTACATGACATTCTATAGGCATGTGACCTTGAATACTTTGTATTTTCTGACAAAATCATCAAAGCACTTCCATTGTTGTCCGATTGTTGCAAGTTGTACAATTTTGTGCGTTTGATTCTAAAGCACTGTGTAAGCACTAGAAAACATTTCATTTTTTTTGTATTGGATTTTCTTTATAGTGTTCTAAAATGTTCCATTCTCTTTTCTCCCGTAGCGTTGTGACATCCATTGCATTCCAAGTGTTTGAGATGCCTAGTCTTATTGTTGGAGGCATTATGTACTACCAAATCTCGCGTGCCAAGGAAGTTATACATGCCTTTCGACGATATTATGCTGAACTAAATGACAACAAGTTGTGCTTGTATATGCTGCTGCACATGAAGCCAACCGGGTAGGTATATTTCAAAGGAGAGGTGCTAGGTTTAGAACAGAGTAGAGCAGGGAGCAGGGAGAAGGGAAGAGGGAGCAGGGAGCAGGGAGAAGGGAAGAGGGAGCAGGGAGCAAGGAGGGAGCAGGGAGCATGGAGCAGGGACCATGGAGCAAAGAGCAGGGAGCAGGGAGCAGAGCAAAGCAGAGCAGAATTAACAGAGCAGAGCAGCC